TTTTTACAATCCGAATCTGTTTGTGAGACTCCCTTTTTAAACTCTTAAGGGATTCAGAATATTCAAATTGTAACCTTAGCTTACTAGCACCTTTGAGACTTCCCCACCCTATTCTGTGCCATTTCCGCTCTACCAGCATCACTAAACTGCTTATTAGTACCAAAACTGTTTATCAGGACCTAAATCAGCACTCACAGTCACCACTATTTTTACCTCTTAATTCTAAATGTCAAGTGTCACTCTCTCTGGGAAGGCTTCTCAGATTCCTTAACTCACTCAGATGTCCCTTCTCTGTGATACTATGGTACCCACCACACTACAGGGGTCACCGATTTGCTTTTCTGCCTTTTCCACCAGATAGTAAACCTCTGGCTTGTTCAGGCAAGTGGGAGAGAGTGCCTGCATTTAACCTGAATGTCACCACTGTGCTCCAGTAGGAGCACAGCGAACGCTAAATGATGGAGGCCAGTGTGCAGCTAAACTCCTTCTGGGCGCTAAGTGCTGGAGCACAGAGGGCGATGTCCTAGAATTGAAGAGCCTGCTACCTGTCAGTACTCAGAAGGGCATCACTCACTTCATGTACCTCCCTGATACACTTCTCTCCTCCCACATCACACCCAAGGGCTGGGAGCCCATCTGTATTGGCCCCTCCAGTACTCCTCGCATATACCAGGCAAGCACTCAAATATATGTCAAATTAACAAATTTAAGTCCTTTTGTTTTTTGGAAATTCACACCTACCTTGTCTCTGCCAAGAAAAAAAATATGTGGAGAATAAAATGTTTGCAAAGTTCAACATCTTAACTAGAAATTTTCAGAATGCTGTAAAGAAGAATACACAGGAATTAAGGATTAACAAACATTTTCAGATAAAATCAAGATAAAGACTACACAGAATGCATTGATTGACATGTCAATGTCTCTTCTACTTAAATTTCCAGCACTTCACAGAGAATCGGGTATATTCCAACAGCAAGTGCTGGTTCAGTCTAACACAGAGACCATGGGTATTTAGATGAAAAACAAATGCCTTGGTCATGGCCCTAATCTACCTCCTTAGTTTTTTTCCCATCTTACTATGTCTGCATTTTCAATACTGTGTTTATCATATTTGAACATTTTAATAAATCAATTTTCTCAGAAGTTTTTCTATGATCATGACTAAAATTTTCATTATTAACTTTTTACTCCTAAATGAAAGTTTAGATGTATCTGAAGCTCTGCCATTTAAACTAAAACTCTTGGGACAATCTTGAAATTTAAAAAAATTTTTCTAAAATACATGTGGTGGCACATGCCTATAAACCCAGCACTCTGGGAGGCGGAGGCAGAAGGATCCAAAGTTCAAGCCCAGCCTGGACAACTCAGTAACGTTGCAAAACCCAGTCTAAAACTAATTTTTAAAAAAGGTAGGCAAGCTCAGTGTGAAGCCCCTGGGTTCAGTCTTCAGTTCCACAACCACCACCAAAAAACAGTCTTTCTTAATCATCCCCTTAATGTATCTACCTTGTAGATTTAATTTTATATTTTCTTATAGAATCACCTGCCTATTTATGTCTGGGAAATAATGCAAACAAATTTTAGAAAAATATCCAAAGAGAATTCTATTTTCGATTTCAAATCATTACAGCAGACCTAGTGACTACTTTGGTGTAGGAGAAAGTAATCAGCCACTCCATGGAGAGAGAAATCTTCGAACTACACGCCCCCAAACACCCCCACACCTCCACACCACAGAATTAAAATTAGCACAATACTGTAGTTTGGTCAGGTATAAGTCAGAGTGAATGGGAGGTAAAGACTTTTAAAAAAGTAAGCAATATAAGAATGAATAGGTGAATCATGGAAATCATAAAATAAGCATGAATTGCAGAAAAAGAAAACTAGAGAGAACAAGTTTTAATGTAGCTACAACTGTTCCCTCAGGAAAATACATGCCTTATCCCCTCTGGTCACTGGGACAGAATCCCTGCCACCTTGCAACTTAAGGAGGAGAGGCTTATTTTGCCTCATGTCTTAGAAGTTTCAGTTCGCATTCTGCAGGACTAAACAAACACAGGACAGCAGCAGGGAAGGGCCAGATGGAGAAAAGCTCTCACAACATAGCAGCCAGGAAACTGAGAAGAGGATGGTGCGGGGAGGGAGGTACACTTTGTAGGTCGCACTCCCTGCGAGCCCCTCTTCAGGCCAGGCCCCACCTCCTCACAGCACATTTCACTACCTGCTACATCTTCTTCCAATCTTCTCCTGAAAGCCCCATCTAAGAGCATGTGGCCCTTGGAGGACATCTGACATGAGCCGTAACAATACCTTATTTATGAAGGTATAGTTCCCCACAGAAAACCTGAGTGAAAAATATTGTGTCTTTTAAGTCAGTCCAATAATCACTTAAAATAATCTTCAGATAGAGCCAAACAACTTTGTTTTAAACTACATTTCTTTATACAGACTTGTATTTGAAGGGAACGTGCTCATTTAGACTCATGAGTATGGTCCCTTCGGCTATCTTAGCTCTCATTTTGTTAACAGACTGACACCTTGTTAACAATAGATGCCTTGATTTTCAAATCAAGCCTTGTGTGAATTTAATGGGTATGTAGCAGTTCCTCAGTGAACCATGACCTAGCAGATGAAATCACAAGGGTTAATTTAATGTGCCTAGGGGGCTGGGGATTTAGCTTGGTGGCACAGCTCCTGCCTGGCAAGTGCAAGGTCATGAGTTCGATTCCTGAAACTGGAAGAAAAACAAAACAAAACAAACAATTTAATGTTCCTATTATGGTGCCTGATACATAGAAGCCTTGCGAATATTTTTTCTCCTTCCTTCACCTGCAACTGTGTAAGACAAAGGACACCTGCCTTGCAGGCGCCTGGAAGGAGGGCCCTTGTTGCTCGGGAAGCCGCAGGGTGGGGAGCACTGGCCCTCGGGGCCCGCTCCCAGCCTAGCAGGCGCCTGGGAGGAGGGGCTCCTGTGCATGGGGAGCCGCGCGGCGGCAAGTGCTGTCGTGCACTGGCCCTCAGGCCAGCGGCCACTGCTCAATTGAGAACTACCATGACATAGAGAAACAATGACACAATTGGCCCACCATGCACTGCTGCAGATGCCCACCCATGAACGTGAGTGAATCATTCAAACATGGAGAAACCCCTGGGAATACATGCCACACAACAGGTCTCTCTTGCTCCTGCCAGTGAGAATCAGAAAGGTCTAGTCAGCAGTGGAGAAGCTGCTGAACAAGGACTCGGAAAACATGAGAATACAGACTAAGCCCAAGGAGTCAGAGGTCCTGTGGACTGGAGTTACCGCTCAGAAGCTGTAAACCAGGAGGAACTTACACAATACCTGGGGAGACTCCCTGGAAGCCATTCTTCCCCTGACAGTACAGGCTGTGTTGGAGCTCCGGAGAGGTCTGCAGCAAGATTCCTGCTGCCTGTGCTGACAGTTGGGGAGAGGACACTAACTAGTTGTGGGGTCCCAATGTGATGGGAGGCTGGAGAGAAAAAGCTACAAAGAATGGCTTTCGCCCCAGACGGCTCATTTGAGATGTTAGCAAGAATGCCTCCTCAGTATTCTATAGCCATGATGAGGAGGAGGCCAAGGAGAGAAAACAAAGAGACTGAGAAAAAGCAGCTGCTTTTGCTGCACCACTAAGAGAAACAGACCCCAGGTCTGATTCCCGGGGCCCCAAGAAGAACTCCATGACTGCATTCATCTGCTACCACTGTTAAAAGCCAGGCCACCTCAAGAGGAACTGCCCTAAGAGGCCCCATGGGCCATGCCCTGAGTGCAAAGGTGACCACTGGAGATCGGTCTGCCTTCTGAAGCGGAGGCCCCAGAGCTCAGACCCATCCTACCAGTTAATCCAAGAGGAATGGGAGGGCCCAGGGCATACTCTGCCCTCTCCCTCTGGCCAGACCATTATCTCCATGGAGGAGCCCTGGATACTATGGAGGAACAAGAAAACAGCCTGTTGCTAGACACAGGTGCAAGTTTCTTGGTCCATCTTTTCAATCCTGGCCTTCCTTTCAGCTGTCACACCTCAGTGACAGGAGTCACTGGTGAGGAGGTAATATGCTATTTTTCTTTTTTTTTTTTTTTTGGTTTTTCTCCGGTACCGGGAACCGAACTCACAACCTTGCGCATGCCAGGCAGGCGCTTTTGCCGCTGAACTAAATCCCCAGCCCCAATATGCTATTTTTGACAACCCTCAGGCTGTAAGTACTTGGTAGATCCTTCTTGCATATCTCTGTCTTCCTGAGAAACCACTTTGAAGATACAACCATGTATTACAGCAGCCATTGATATTTTCCTACTAATCTATCCATAACTCTGTTATGTTTGTATTGCTCCTATCCTATTTCGTAAATGGATACATGTTTATTATTATGTGTTTCCTACAACAACCATTGAGAATAGTTAGTGATTATTCAGTTGGTCACTCACGTATAGCTCTATTTATCTTCTTTAGAAGTCACTTTGAAGATACCAAAGTATAGTACAACAACTATTGATAATCTCCTACCCCTTTTGTCTGTAACTCACTATTATTTGTCTATTTGTTTTCCTGAGAAACTATCTTGTAGATAACAATATGTAAAACAATAACCATTGATAATTTCCTACCACTTTGTGTGTAATTTGGTAAGCCCCCTCTATTATTATGTTATCATTCTTTTACTCTTTAAAATAAAAAAAAAAGACAAAAGACAACAGAATTACACATGACAGGAATAATCTGTTGCTGATACTTTACTAACGCAAAGTTTATTATAAAAGCATTTTTGCACATCACCACAACAAATACTGAACATGGTTTTACAAAAGTTACAATTTTCATGACAAAAATATTCTCTAAATATCATGATAATCCACCTATCAAGGCTGGGTGTGGTGGCGCACGCCTGTATTACCAACTCTTGGGAGGCTGAGGCAGCAGGATCACTGCGAGTTCGAGGCCAGTCTGGGCTACACAGTGAGTCCAAGTCCAGCTTGGACTACACTGTGAGATCCCGTCTCAAAAAAAAACCACCCCTCCCAAAAAACAACAAAAAACCCACCTGTTTTCTTTACTTCAGTATAATAGCTAACAAATATTAGGATTAGAACTTAACCCTAACAGACATGAAAATTTGATTTTTTGGTTATAGTCTAAATACACAAAAATGTTGACTAGCATTTCTGTTTTTGATTTTAGCAGGACTGGGGATTGAATTCAGGGCCTTGTGCATGCTAGGCAACTATTCTATGACTGACCTAAAATCCCCTCAACTAGCATTTCTATGTACTTGAAGAAGCATGGTCAGATATACAGCCAAGATAATAACAAATTTAAAAAGACATACATTTCTAGTTACAGGTTATAACTAGAAATATCACAATAAAACTGGTAAAACACAACCACTAACAGATGTCTACATACCTGAAAAACTCTACATAAAAAAAAAATTAGCTTTAGGTGACAGCATGTAGGTTTTAGGGTTAATATACTGCTTTCATGTAGTGTATGAAGCTTTATCATTGCCCTCAACCTGGGAAATTTCAAGTTATAGAGTATACAGTTCAAAACACTTGCTTTGTGCTTTTTCTCATGCTAGATCTCTGACGTTTCCTAACTTTTACAGTCTTCTAAAATCTTTGAGATTTCCCCTCAACAATGCTGGATTAAATCTCTTCTATACATGACCTCATTCTTCTCATGTCTCCTCTGTTTGCAGAGAGCCGGTCAAAGTCTTGGAGGTGGAAACGAGCTGCCAACTGATTGACCATTTTCTTCAAGGTATAAAATGCTGAAATAACTTGGAAAGTAAGGAAGAGAGTGAAGATGATATGCATTGCTTTTTCCAAGGGCAGATTCGTTAGGCCTTCATTCAACAGCAAGAAAAGAACTAAAGGCAACTGCAGTAGAAGGCTCAAAAGCCAGAAGCCTGCCAGCTCAGGAACCTGCAATGATAACACAGCGAGAGAACCGACATAAGGGCTAGGCCTGTGACTCGGAGGTAGAATACTTGTCTGGTATGTGTGACATCCTGGTTTTGATCCTATCCCCCCAAAAGAGAGTAAGGAGATCAGTAAATACAGTTTTTGTTTATGCATGTGAATAAATACTCAGTATTGCTGTGAATCTATAGTGTGGGTGGGCTCTGTACTTCAAAAGGACTATGACATGGTCCTTGTCCTTAGAATATGCTACCTAGATAAGAAAATTAACTTTGTGTGAATCAATCCTACAATAGTATACTTTGGTGAATAATTAAATGCAATACTTAGAGGCATAAATGAAGTGTTACAAGAAATAAGCGAGTGTTAGAGTAGGTGAAAGAACAGGCTTGGGCTGTGGATATAGCTCAGTGGCACAGCGCCTGCTTGGCAAGTGCAAGGTCCTGGAAAAAAAAAAAAAAAAAGAATGTATATAGGCTTTCATAAAGTTGTGCAGAGGGAGGAATAAAGGTAAATAAGCAAACAGGTGAAAGCAGCATGACTGGGAATCAACACTTCAATCCAGAGTGGGTGCCTGGGTTAAGAAATGGTAGGAGATTCGGTTAGATATGCCGGGTGTGGCCTAACTACAAAGGGCTCATACAACCACAGAACCATCCCGACACCTTGGTAACTATAGCTGCTTAGGCAGCACGGTGATTCAGAAAACAAGGGTCTGGCAGAGGAAATGAATTTATAATTTCCCCCTTTGCTTATTCAGGATCCAAAGAGACAAGTTTGACTAAATTTTTTTAAGACTGATGAGAAGAGAAAACTATGGATTCTTAAATGCTTAACAATAAGCACTTCAGTTACTTTACATAAATCATTTCACTTAATCTCAAGAAATGTTTGAGATAAGTACTATTTTCTTCCTTTTCTAGATTAGTTTTTGTATGAAGAACCAGAAACTCAAGACATTAAGCACAGAGATTATAGTGACCAAAGTGGTCAATCTGGAGCCAGCACTGGGAGAGGCCTGTGCGCTCTCCACTGCTGGCTGCCTTGCGTGGGCCTGGAAGGGTGTTGTGTGCAGCACAGAGATGAAGGGAAGCAGAGCCTACCTTCTCCTGCAGGTTACCCATGTAGCCCAGGTACAACCGGATAGCTTCAATTAGGGTTACGAGGACGATAATAGTGATCACAATGAATTTGTAGTAATCAGGCAAGAATGAATACTGAAAACAAAAAACAAGCCATGTTTGTAAAACCTTACAGAGAGTAGCACTGACCTGAATAGAAAAACAATTTTTAAGGACTGTTAACTTTATTAATGATGTAACAATGTTAGGCAAGGGCATAAGAGGCCTCAGCAATAATAAAAGCATAGACTTACCTTCATATGAAGCATCATAATGGAGCCCACCCACCAAAGTGGGAAAAAGTAAGTGTTAAAATAAAGTGACATCTGCAGGACCAAACTGGAGCTCATTTCATTATCTACAGAAGACATAGAAAAGGAACAAACTCTTAATTCTGGTTGAAGCCCTTCAAATCCTTTCATTTTTGAAAATTAATAGCCATTATTGGTTCAATAAAACTTCAAATTTTAAGCTTATTTATAATTTTTGTTTTGAGACAGGGTCTCGCTATGTAGTTTAGTGTGGCCTTGAACTCACTATGTAGCCCAGGCTGGTCTTGTACTCACAGTGATCTTCCTGCCTCAGCCTCCAGAGTGCTGGGATTACAGGCATATGCCACCATGCCCAGCTTTTTTTTTTTTGTACTTGGAATCGAATTTAGGACCTTGTACTTTCCAGGCAGGCACTGTGCCACTGAGCGATATCCCTGGCTATAATTATTGACAGTGAAAAGAATATTCATCCTAAAACCATTTAGTTCAAATAATGGTTACCTGGGGATATGTTTCATATTCTTCAATTACTTTATTATTTTGCCATGATAGCCTGCTGACTTTTTTGCACACTACTGGTTTAAATTAAATGTGGAAAATATGAATCCTATTGAACAGACAGTAATTGCTGTCTCCTTTGTAGAATTCTATGTAAAGATACTATAAAATAAATACATGAAATAAAAATATTTCAGATAAACTCTTATAAATACATCCCTTTTCTTCACTATACCCTAACCTACCCATTCGTTGATGTCCAATCCAATGCCTCCTTTTCCATAAAGTCTTCTTGCTCATGTTCCCCCTCCCAGCAGAAACCTCTTGCTGAAGTGCTGCACAGAACTCCCCTCACACCACACAGCGTGGTGCACTGCAGAGACCATGGGCTCTAGAGTCCGAGTGAACCTGGACACCAGATTTGAACTAAGTGTTTAGCCTGTTTGAGCCTGCATTTCACCATTGATAAACGGTAACATACAACTACCTCACGGGCTGCTCGTGAAGACCAGTGGTAACAAATTATTTCACCCTAGCACCGGGCCTGGCACACTTAGTAGGCACTCCATGAATATTAGTTCCCTTTCCTTCTTCTACGTATACATAGGGTGATCGGAAACTGTGGTCAGGGTTTAAATTAAGAATTTATTACAGTGAAAGACACACTGCCAAGAACGATGGCCTAAGTGTGTCTGAAGCAAGGGGAAGTACACTGAGGGGATTAATGGCAATTGTCTTTCAGTGTAATAAGTTCTTAACTTCTTTATTATTATTATTATTGTTATTATTATTATTTGTCTTTTTGAGACAAGGTCTCACTATGCAGTTCAGGCTGGGCTTCAGCTCAATTTTAGTTCAGGCTGGCCTTGAACTCACAATGATCCTCCTGCCTCAGCCTCCTGAGTGCTGGGATTACAGGCATGTATCACCATGCTCAGTAATAAATTCTTAATTTAAACGTTCACCATATATGTTTTTTTAATCACACCAAGCTGATCAACTGTTTAAGGCAATTTCTGTCAACCAAAAATATTATGGTAGCCTGACATGGTTGTACATGCCTGTAATCCCAGCACTTGAGGCAGAGGCAGTATCCCAAATTTGAGGCCATCCTGGGCTACATAATGAATTCAAGGCCAGCATGAACTATATAGTGAGACTTTGTCTCAAAAAAAAATTAAAAATATCATGGCATGTCTTCATCCACCTTATTCACGTGATCTGGCACTGTGCGCTTCTGGCTCTTCTACAAAGTCAAAATGACCATGAAAAATGTTTTGAACTGATCCAGGATACTGCAGAGCCATAATAACGCAACTAAAAGCACTCATGCAAGAGGACTCGACTGCTTCTGAAAGCAGCAAGGATGACGGCACAACTCTTCCAAGCAAGGGGGAGTATTCTGAAGAGGAGTGATTGCAATGTGTCTTTTACTATAACAATTTTTAAAAAATTTAAGCACTAACCATATATATATTTTAATTTAATTTAATTATTTATTTTTTTTTTGTGGTTACCGGGAATCCAACTCAGAACCTCACACTTGCCAGGCAGGCACTGTGCCGCTGACCTCTATCCCCAGCCCCGTGATCATATTTTTTGATTGCACTTCATATACAATCTCATTGTAAGCAAAGACCATTTCCAACCCAGTTTTGAGATCCTCATAGAACCTAACATCTTGCCTTACACATTGTGAATACCAAAGATGAACAACAGAAAGAATGAATCGATGAAAGCAGACTGTCCTAAGGATACCAACAGTATAGCCATTTGTAATACATGAGTTTCACTTATCTAAGGTGGAACACATATCTTTTGCTTTCATGTAAAAGAGAAGGGGCCTAAATTAAGAATTTGATTTTTAGAATTGAGCCCTACAAAATACACTTGAAATCTGAATGCTTAAGAGCAGATATGTATTTTGAAATCTACTGCTCTAAACTTAAGATTAAGGCTCTAATATAAATTTCTTAAAACCATTACTTTTTCTTTTCCTCCACACCTGAATATTTTAATGTCATTTAATAATTTTGCAGTATGAGAATCATGATCTTACAGAAAAATGATTTCTTTTAGCTCCAAGAACATGCTTGATTATTATGATCCTTTTGTTCATACCAATTTATTAAATAATAAGAGAGTCTTAAAATCTATTAAATCTGAAGGCCACTCATTAGCCTAGTATTTTTTCCATGACAGTATAATTCTTGGTCAGCTATGGACATAAAAATTAACTTGTTTTTACAGTATAAGTGATTATTACTACTTCAGATCAACGAAGAGAATGTGGAAAAATAGTCTAAACTGAAAATTTTACTACCTTTGGAGTAGAAACTATATTCAAAACTTTGCAAAGATCATTTTTTAATGTTAGAATTTTTTTTTACATGAACATGTTAAAAGTTGGGCCATGTCCATTATTATTATTATTATTTTTTTTTCCAGTACCGGGAATTGAACTCACGACCTTGTGCTTGCCAGGCAGGTGCTGTGCCGCTGAGCTAAATCCTCAGCCCCTCATGTCCATTATTTCAGCAGATCAAATTTATAATCATGCAGTTAAAAATCAACATATAAATTAAATTTGAAGGCATAAATTCATTACATTTTGCAAAAGTTCAAGTTGAGTGCTATAAACAGAATTTAAAACACTATAATATAAAAGGGGTAGGCCAACTGCTGGCCAACTGTATATTTTTGCACAGTTGGTGAGCTAAAAAATGTTTTTCTTGTGTTTAAATGGTTAAAAGTAATATTCTGTGACGTGAAAACCATGTGAAATTTAACCTCCAGGGTCCATAAAGTTTTATTGGTACGCAGCCATGCCCACGAAATGAAGATTGTCTGTAGCTGCTGCAGACTATCGGGCCTCCAAAGCCTTGAATATTTGTTATGCGGCCTTTTCCAGTAAAGGTCTGCTGCTCTCTAATACTTTGCTTCATAAGATTTTAGTGTCTGTGCCTCTCCCTCAGAAATATGAAAGCCCAATTTTTCATGTTTTACTCTGCACATCCTAAATTATAAAAAGGCTTACATTTAGGGATTAGGTCAATGATCAAGGTGACAAAATGCAACTACAGGAACTGATTTTGCTTTTCTTTGTCCCCCACTACCCGCCACCTTTAAAGCCCTTAAAAACAGGTGGAGGAAAAGATTTCTATTCCACCACAGAAATGATGAAAACCGCATGCGTTTGGTTGACGGTATGCCAGCTCATCATTCGGGAGGCTGAAACTGCTTTGTACCAAACGGCATTATCACTTATCCATCATGTCGGATGCAGCATCCTTAACTTGTGGCATTCTGTTTCCAGATTAGGGGAAAGAGTTTTAGGTGGGGGAGAAGGCAGGGAAAGGTAGTTTGGACAGAGGTTTACAATGACTCATTTAAAAACTTTCCCCATTTCTTCTGCTGGAAAACGGCTTCAGGAGGAACGTACTTCTGCGAGGAAAAGAGAAAAGGCAAAGCTCTTTCACCAGGGTTGGGGATGAGGGCTCAGGATGGGGTTGGCTGTTCCTTCCATCCTGGTCGGGAAAACCAGGGCGGGTGACGCAGGAAAATTAACATCGGCCTTTACGGACCGCTGTGCAGCGCAGCATTTTTAAGTCTTACTGAGTCGTCTCTAAGGCACCACTTGACCTCACAGGGCGCAAAGGTTGGCATCACCTCGGCTGCCGCGTTTGCAATGCGCAGGCCAGGTGACAAAGCACCAGGCCAGGCCGGGATTTGGGCCTGAAGGGGTCCCAGCCTCGGCCCCCAGCCCGGCCCCTCCTCCAGGAACTCCCCGCAATGCGGAGAGCTACCTGAAGGCGACGCCGCCATTTTTAGTGCGGGCAAAAATCTGGCCGCTCCAACACCGGAGCGGGGGACACTCTACGCCGGGCCTTGGCCACTCACCCGAACCCTCATTGTATTCCGGCCCGGTCCGGCTGGAGTCGCGGAACACCGTCCGGCTGAAGTGCCCCAGCCGCTGGCGTACAGGATCCGGCAGCTCCATCCTAGGGCCTCAGTCTCCCTACACACAGTGGCAGGTTCGCGGGCGCAGCCGCGCTCGGCGGTTCCCACGGCAACCGGGCGGCGCCGG